AGAGTGTTTCTCCCATACATCAAAGTTGAAGGTTCGATCCCTGGTCGGGGCACATACAAGAATCAACAAATGAGTGCATCAATGAGTGGAATAACGAATCAACGTTTCTCTCTCTCTCTCTCTAAAAATCTGCAAATACAGTAAATAAAGAAAACATCATAAATTATATGCTCACTTTACCTAAAGGGTCAGCCTTCTACTCAGGCTAAGCTAGTGGTCACCGCATAGCAGTGCGTCCCTAAGTATTGTGATGGCTAATTTGGATGGGTTTGTAAAAAACCCTGAAAAATGTTATTTGTGGACTTACAAAAAATATCTTTAGGTGGGAAACCACTACCCCTCCCTAAAGAGGTTCCCTCATATCCAGTCCACCCACTTTCCAAAATCCGTTCCCTCCATCAGTTCCCATTCACTGGCTGCCTGTCATTGGCTGGAAAGATGCCGGCTGCCATGGAGACAGAGGGAGCAACAGGAAGAAGGTAGAATAAATGAACTGCAATTAGTATATCGACTCAGTTCGAGCTCATTTCAACTTTTCCTTTCTAAAGTCATATGTTATAATATACAGCATCCAATCTTTGGTGTTGTCTTTCAGTTAAAACTAAGAAAAGCTAGGGAAGCCTTCTTCTCAGACCTTTATATTAGGGGAAAAATCTAAGCAGTGAATATCTTCGAATCCCACGTTCCTGTAATGAACCCATGCTCGTTTCAAAACAAGCCACAGATCATCTGATTTGGGGTGCTGAGAGGGTCTATTGAAAATGACAGAGGCATGCCAATTTGGGATGAAATGAACCTTCTGGCACACTTCACAAACATCGTCTTACACGCTGCAGGCCTGGCAACTAATTGCGAAGATCAGAGCTCCTCAAAATCGAACACTCGGCCTGTTTGCTGACGGCTGCGATCGCCTCAGGGTGTGTCACGTGTTACAAAGGAGACACCGACATTCATTTTTCAATGTTTAAAATGCTGCTTTCATGGAGAGAGCTACGGCATTTCCAATTTTTAAACAGAGTCTTTCCATTTGAGGCTCTTTCTCACCGTGGGGGTTTAGGGTGATTGAAGGCTGGATATCGCCTCGCCCAACCTCGTCGTCAACCTCGCCCAACACGGCAAACGTGACCGGCTCCATCTGTGCTCTGCAAGGAGTGATCGGCACCCAGGCGCTTGGCGTTCATGCTTCTCTCTCCTCGCCCCTCCCCCTCCCCCTCCTTCCCTTTCTCCCTCCCTCCCTCCTTTTCTCCCTCTCTGATGAAGAAGGGGAGAATGTAGAGGGTCACCCTGCCAGGTCCTCTCCATCTCGAGGAGTTGCTTCTAACCCAGAATCACAGATTATTACACAGAGGAAGCAACAGACTTAAAGGTCACGTTGTCAGTGGGGAAAAAAATCTCTAGGGCATTCTTAATATACGGGGCCCCACAGAAGTAACGCCTGCTTGAGTGTGGTTGGCAGGGTCATAATATGGGTATAATCATTTATAGTTTTAATTTGAACATCTCATCTAAAATGTCCTAGGGTGTGCTTGAGTGTGACATGGTTGTGTTACAGAATGACATGCTTATGATACTGTAATAAAAGAGTTTGTGATAAAGAGGGGGCGTTATTCGTGCCGGACCCTGTATAATCATTCCACCCGGCTTGAAACCAAATTCTCCTTTTAGGTTCCATTCTTGCTCGAAATCAGCTTCGGCCTGACAGCAATCATGTGGTGCTGGGAACCCACAGTTAATAACTATGAGAACCAAAGGCTTCGTCTGCATTTTCGCCTCATGTGAGATACGGTTGGAGCCAACCTGTGGGTTGGGTTTCGACAGCCTCTTTGTAAAGCCGAGATTTCTAACTTGCTGTACCTGTTCCCCATCACTTGCTCCCCGGGAGACATGGAGAACTATTTCTAAGGTGTTAACAAGGAGGTTAGAAGATTTACACATTCCCGATGAATCTTCAGCAGGGGTATTCGCTGTACCAATGTAACTTGAAGCATTGGATAGTTATCTAGAAGCATTGGATTGTATACTTGCATTTGGGCCAACTTTAGCCAAAGCTTGCCCTAGATAGATACACGGCTAGATTCCTCAGAAATACACAGTGCTGATTGCTGACTTATTAGAATATTCTGGCTATTTATGGCGATGTCAAAAGAGATCCATTTAAATACCACAGTTCTAAAAGTAGGGCACAGTAATGTATAATTATTTTTAAACGTTTTCTTTCTTGCCTTGTTATCATTTTCCCCAAGGTGATTATTTTGTGTTCATTAAAAATAACGAACACTGAAATATCTCCAATGCAGAATCAGAGAGCAGAAAAATGCCATCATTTTGGCCAAATGTGCATCGGATTGAAGCCTGAGCGGTAGGCCGACGCAGATGTGAGTGCTGAAATTCACCCGGCGGAGCTTCAAAGCCGAGAACTTGTCACGACAATTACGGCAACCCAACAGGAAAGACATCATTTTCTATTAGGACCAAGACGTTTCAAGTGAGCGTTTATAAGCATAGTCACTTAGAAGTAACTTGCAGTATATATTTTTCTCCAAATTTCAATGCAAAGCTGAACGGTAAAGTGTGTGAGAGAAATGTCACTAAGCAGTCAGCGAAAACCCACGTTTCATATCAAGTCTCAGGTCTGCCTTTGGCTGTGGCAGATTCTACACTGTTATTGTGGAAAGCACACGTTACTCTACTCACATGGCGGCTCTGGGAGTAGAGACACGCACCGGTGTGAAGATCTAGGGTCCCCCCCCCCCGTTGCCCTTCACCCTTCCTTCCATGTGTGACGCCCTGAAACCAGGCGTAGAAGGCGCAGTGCAATACCTCTGTACCTGGAACGACCAGACACTGAAAACCGCGCCCCTGTCCTTGGGAAGGCCTGTCAGTTCTGTGGGTCTGTCCTACTACTCTGATAAGATGTGGTAACTGACCTTGAATCCTGGAGAAAGGCTTTCCAGGATCCACACCTGGAGTTCTCCGTGATTGGATGCCAAGGGCATTGACACGGTTATTCAAGGTGAAAGACACCAGCGCGTGCGCGTCGGTCTGGGCCCACCAAACACAGGGAGGGGAAGCGGCTTTAAAGAAAGATACGCGATTTCGTGGCCAGCGAAGGCAGGCCTATCTTGACAGTTGGCTAGTCGACCTAAGTCCCCTTCTACGATTCCAAATGAGTCTCCGAGGGGGCGGGAAGCGTTCCTTCCACACGCGCTGCCCCGGGAACTTCCGCCAACCGCAAGTGGACAGTGCAAACGCAGTGCTCCACGTGACTGTTCACACGGAGCGGAAGGCAGGCACGCGGCGCGGGCCCAGCCGCGGGCCGGCCCACAGCAGGCCCCCACGCGGGAAGCGCGCCCGGCCGGGGCTCCGCCGACAGACCCACCCGCTCTGCTCCACAGGCGTGGAGGTGTCCAGGTGACGGGTAGAAGCCTCTGTGTGGTTCCGCCTGCTGACCCCGGCCGTGGTCGAAATCAGCTTTCTCCCTCAGGCTGCCCTGGGGACAGGCTGGACAGAGGTGAGGGCCACGGACAGCTTTTTCTTCTTTTTCTTTTCGTCATTCTCTTTTTAAGAAAAGTTTATTTTTTAATTACAGTTGACACTCAAGGTTCTTTTGTATTAGTTTCCAGGGTACAGCTTAGGGGTCAGACACTCATGGTCTTTTTTTAAATTGTCACACGAGAATATGTTTCTTGATTTTAGAGAGAGAAGGAGGGGGAGAGAGAGAGAGAGAAACATGATCGGTTGCCTCCTGCACACGCTGCAACCGGAGACCGAACCCACGCCCCAGGTGCGCGCCCTGACCGAGAATCGAGCCCACCACCTTCAGGTGTGCGGGACGATGCTCCAACCCACTGAGCCACCCGGCCAGGGCAACCATAGTCTTTATAAAGTGTCTCCCTGCCCCCAATACTTCCAGTGCCCACCCAGGCAATCGCATGACAGGCTTCCTCCACGTTGGGAAATGAATCCATCAAAATAAGAACTTTTCAAAAACATGACATTGATCCGCGAGATCAGTCCATTTTTAATTTTTTTAATGAACATTTAAGGTCCATATACAAAAGCTAACAGGGCAATAAGTCGGTCATGAAATACGTACAAGGAAATAACACGGAAAAGGAATCGGTTACAGTGTCTCACCACAGAAGCATCACACCCTGGCTGCAGCGGGGTGTGTGGTCAAAGTGTCAGACTTGGACGCTCGGGACGAATGTCAAGACTGTTGTCACACTGCTTTGTGTCTGGACAGCGTTTCTTTCCTGGTCATTGTTCAGTTAGTCGGGGCGGTGGCGGGGGGTAGGGAGTCAATGTCCTCCCTACACACCAAAAAAAAAAAGAGTTTTTTCCAGCAGTTAATTTTTTTGGGGGGGGGTATTTTGATCTGTTCATCTGCCATATGGTATGATTCTGTCATTAAATTGATCTGCATAAATATTTGCCTATTCTAGTTCTTAAAGTCAGGTCATGCAGTGCTTCCTCATTTTGGAAGAGTAAGATTCATCCAAGGCAATTAGTTTTGTACATAAATGCTCACAGTTTCCTTTTTTCTGAAAAATGTGCTCTTTGTGACTTTTTTTTGTTTCTTGCAAGAATTGCTCAAGTAATAACCATGGAGCATTTCATAAAATATTCATTTGCTGGGAAATTTTGTATGAAATGACATTGGAAGTATAAAAAACATTGTTCGGTAACCCTTGGAACAGTTAAAAATATACTTATCTTGTTTGTAAACTACCAAGGTCAGCTGCTGAGCATCTGAGTGTCAGAGCCTTTCTGGTTTTCTAGAAAGTTCTTTGTTGTGTTTATCAATGTGACATCTTTGAAACATCTGACGTTATATGTAGAAACATTGAGGCAATCGTATTTGTACATATTATTAAACATGCAAAAATTTCCTGAAAGATAGTGTCCAAGAATGGGAAGTCTCTCTGAGCTCAGCCCCCACCCCCCCGGGTCCCGCTCCATGGGAAGATGGCTGTCTTGGAGTTTGGGGCTGCCACGTATCATTTTGGAGAGGTGGCCCCTTTAATCACCGGCTCCCTATTCAAATATGTTGCCCAGTACACCAGGTTGAAAGTGCCAAAGAGGACTGGGAATACAATTCGGGACATTTTGTCGATTTTGCTGATGCTGTTGTAAGTCTTTTTGTTCTCAGGGGTCTTGTCTTCAGCAGGATTTGCTGCGACTGAGGAGGTGTTGGCGGTCCCTGCCGGGGTCTGCTCCTTCGGAATGTTGGGGGCGTGGGTCATCTTCCCGGTGGTGTAAGCGTTTGTGGACTTATTTAGTATGAGTTCCCGCTGCTTTTTCTGCAAAACATAATAAGAACATAAGGGTGTGCCCCCTGCAGGCAGCTGTCAGCTCACTGCTAAAGGTTTATCTATAAAGAGAGAAAGAACCATCTGCTTAGCTCTGGCCAAGGGTGCACCACACAGGCTGGGAAGCCCACATCCCCACCTGGCCGGTCTTCGAGGTGAAACTCTACTGCATGTCACGTTACTTATGGGGGGAAAACTGGGATTGTGGTTACTGTTGCGGCAGCGGGCATGGGACCCGGCCGGGGTGTTGATGCTGGTTTCTACTGTGACAGGGACCAGGGTCCACAGGTGAACATATTATCAAAACCCTGCAGGTGAACCCCTAGAAGTTGCCCATTTCATACTAGGAGCATTCTGCTTTCAATGAGTCAACATTAAGCAGGATTTAAACTCCAGCTACTGATCCGCATGCTGAAGTACTTGCAGGGGAATGTACTGTCCTCTGAAATGTGCCATAGTTTGCCATGTATAATGTGCACTTTTTCACCCAAATTTTTGAGGGAAAAATAAGGATGTGCATTACACATGGGCAGCACTAATTTCATATCTATACATATTTTTAATTCTTTTATTTGTGCGTAGGCATGAAAAGTGCAACTCTAAAAAGCAATAACGATATCCGTATGTGAAATGCTACCCTGGAATATGATCATCGGGTTCGTTTCCAGATATAAATAAATAAATGAATGAATTAAAAATGACAACGGGAGATATTTTTTCTGAGAGTTTGGGCCAAAAACACGGGTGCGCATTATACACAGTGAAATACGGTACTCTGAAATGTATCAAAACAGAAGAGGGACTGGTTGATGGATGGAGGCTTGGTGGGTGTAGGAATGCACGGACTGATGATGGGCACAGGGACAGATGACAGATGGTGATGATACAAACAGTGAAATGTTCATGGCAGGCAGGTTTTCCCCGCGAAAATTCTTCAAACATTGACGTGTGTTTGAAAATCTGCATAGTGAAATGTCAGAAAGATGCTGTTCCATTACCAAAACGATACAATCTCATGAAAGAAAATTTGCAAAGCAGAGGAGAGCGAAAGAAAGGAAATGCTATCAGCATCTGGAAAAAACACCTGCACCCCCAAGCTCACTGCAGCATCAGTCACGAGAAGCCAAGACAGGGTACCAATCTATCCATCCAGCAGCAGATGGATGGATAAAGGAAAGGATGGCACATGCGAGGACTGGCCGGACAGAGTCCGGCCATTGCTAATACAATGAGAATGGTTTTCTCTGTGACCTGGCAGCCGAGGAGAGTGCAGTGGGATGTGCATTTGTGAACAGTGATGACTTCACTGTACTAGTCAGCGGGGGTGGTGGACGCCACTGAGTGAGCCTGTGTACTGTGTGGTCATGGCATTCAAAACGAGTGATCAGAGCAACAAATCTGCACCAGATTTTGCACTGAGCTTGAACGAACGTCCAATACTTTCTGTGGAAACTACTCAGGTGATTCAGAAGGCCACGGCTGTGGTGATCGGCAGCTCCACCACAACACGCCCGCTTGTGCATCACGTCTCCTGCAGAGTTTTTTGGTGAAACATCCAATCACCCAGGTGACTCAGCTCCCCTGCAGCCCAGATCTGGTGCCCTGTGACTTCTGGCTTTTCACAAAACTAAAGTCACCTTTCAAAGGGAAGGGATTGCAGACCATTGATGAGATTCAGAAAAATACGACAGGGGCAGCTGATGGCAACTGGAAGAACTGTGTGAGGTCCCAAAGTGCCTGAGGGGGACTTTGAAGGGGACTGAGGAGTCACTGTCCCACGTGCAATGTTTCTTGTATCATGTATCTTCTTCAACAAATGTCTCTGTTTTTTATATTACATGGCTGGACATCATCTGGACAGACCTCATATTACAATAAGATATGACTTGCCTGTAAAACATAAGTAGGCCCTGCCATGGCCAGTGTGGCTCAGTTGGTTGGAGCATCATTGGGTAAGCTGAAAGTTTGCTGGTTCGATTCCCAATCAGGACACATACCTAGGTTCTGGGTTCAGTCTCCCATTGGGATACATGAGAGGGGCAATCGAAAGATGTTTCTCTCTCTCTCTCCCTCTTTCCCTTTCCCTCTCTCTGAAAATCAATAAACATGTCCTTGGATGAGGATTAAAAAACATAAGCAGACCCGACCATCTGGCACTATACTGAGTCAAGTAAGTCAGACAGAAAGACAAACACCGTATAGTGTCATTTATACGTGGAACCTAAAAAGCAAAACAAACCAAGAAGAGAAGACCAAGTTCGCAGACACAGAACAGCAGGTTGGCAGTTGCCAGAGTGGGGGTGGGGTCGGACAACTGGGGGAAGGGGCCCCCAGGTGCAAACGTCCAGTTACAAATAAATGTGTCCTGGGCCATAATGTACAGCATGGTGCCTGTAGTTTTAAAACGATGAAAAAACAAAGAAATCACCATTAAAATGATAAAACACAAAGCAGAAAGGAAGAGCATAGGGTGGGGGGAAGACAGGTGGAGCACCCGTGGGATCAGCTGCAGGAGCCAGAGGACCGAGGGGACATGGGGAGGGAGACAGGGACAGTCCCCAGACCACAGCAGGGACTGGGGCCCCTCCTCAGACGTACCAGGGCCCCGCCGGGGTCTCCCAGGAGGAACCCATGAACACCGCTGACCAGCAACCTACTGCTCTGAACGGCTTTCATTTTTCCTTTTTTATCCACACCCCAGGGTATCTTTTATTGATTCTAGAGACTAAGGGATGGAGGGAGCAGGGCAGGGGCGGAGAGAGAGAAAGAGAAACATCCATGAGAGAGAAAAATCGATCGGTTGCCTCCTGTGCATGCCCCCACCAGGAACTGAACCCTAAACCCAGGTCGGTGCCCTGACAGGGGCACACCCTTTCGGTCTATAGGTCAACTCTCCAACCAACGGAGCCACCCAGCCGGGGCAGCTTTCACCTCTCCCCGTAACCAGGGAACGAGCGGACACCTTGGAAGAGGCCGATCTGTCCTCACAGCCTGTGTTTTGCTGGGTGGGCAGCCACATGGAGCCACGAGGCCGGGAGTGTCCTAGAGGTGAGGCCAGCACCTGGCCTCCAGCTGCGGCTCCTCGGGGTCAACTTCAGCTTCTCCCTCTAGTGACTCTCACTTCCTCGCTGTCCTTTCACAGGCGTGCATCCCTCAAGTCTACCTTGCACCCAAGGTCGGACATAGCGCTTGGTTCTGGAGATCCCGGCAGGTGACAGCAGCAGCAATCCTCCTGTCCAGCGCTCTCGCTTCTGCTACCACCGCGCACACTCCCTCACACTCCCCTGCGGGCACCGCGCACCCACCAGCCCACGTGCCTGCCCGAAGTGTCTGGGTGCCCCACGAAGAGCCCTCGTCCCGGAGAACGTCCCGGAGAACGACTTGGTCCTGAAGTTTCCTATCATTTACTGCGATCCTCTGCTAACGCTAGGAGACCAGCGCTGTTCCGGGATCAGACCACCCAAGTCTCCGCCACCGCTCCCCCTCCCTGCGGGTCTCCATTCAGACCTGTGGCACGTGGCACCCACGGCGGTGCTGAATGGGACCCTGGTGGCTGACGGTGACAGTGAGTCCATGTGACAACATTTTAGAGCACTCCATTGGCCTCGGGTTTCCCCTGAGACCCCCAGACGGAGCCTGGTGGCCTACTGCAGCCGTGCCTGCCTCCTCTCCTCCATCGATCCACCAGCCACCACACAGGCCTCAGCAAACTAGCGCATCCCGGCAACGGGCACTGGTGTCGGGGTGCCCCTCCCCCCGAGCCCATTCTTGTTCCTCCTGCACACCCACCCTCCTGGTCTCCCTCTGTCCCCACGATCCAGGCCAGATGCCGGACAAGAATCCGCACAGTCTGAGGATGCCGGACCTCCACAAGTGTTTCCCAGCTCCCACCATCGTCCCCTGCGATGAGCTCACTCCTGTCTCCCTGCCTCCAAAACACACCCATTCCCAAGGTTTCGACTTGTCAGGATCGGCGTCCCCTCTGCCTTGTCCAGGAAACCACGCAGGATGGGTGCCTCTGGGCCTTCCTCCGACTGGGGGCGTGGGTCTTGGCAAGTGAGTCTTCCGGTCTGAGACCTGGGGGCGCAGGGGGCGCCAGTGCTCGGAGGCAGCGGGATCTGATGGACAGGCCGCGTCCAGTCGCAGCCTCTGACTTCCACGGGGAAGGAAAGGGCGGCCACCGTAGATGTGCAACCCCGCACGGGGGCCTCAGGTCAGAGCTGAGTGGCCCCAACAGATGCTACTGTGCTGGGCTGCGGGGACCCTGAGGGCGCAGGACGCTCTCGGGACTCCCTACAGGCCGACTTTGCTAAGGACCCGTAAGTCTGACTTCCCCATCCACCCTGATAACTCTGGTCTGTGCGCCTCTCAGAGCCAAAATGGGCTTGCCCGTATTTTACCGTGTAGACTCTGCAACCATATTTTTGGCCCAAACTTTCAGGGGAAAAAAAATCTTTTGTTTTCATTTTTTTCAATTCAGTTTTGTATTTATTTATATTTAGAAACAGACCCAATGATCATATTTTGTGGTATTATTTTGAATACAGATATAGTTATTGCTCTCTAGAGTTACACTTTTTAAAAATATATTTTTTATTTATTGTTAGAGAGAGGGGACGGAAAAGAGAAAGAGAAGGAAACAGCAATGTGTGGTTAGTTGCCTCTCGTGCTCCCCCTACTGGGGACCTGGCTGGCAACTCAGGCATGTGCCCTGACTGGGAATCCAACCAATGACCCTTTGGTTCGCAGGCTGGCACTCAATCCACTGAGCTACACCAGCCACAGGTAGAGTTACATTTTAAACTCCTAAGCATAAATTTAAAACATTTATACAGATACGGAATTAGCATTATCCATGTATAATGCGCATCTTTATTCTCCCCTCAAAAAGTTGGGCAAAAAGTGCACATCATACACAGGAAAATACGGTATCTGTTTCCAGCAGGTGATGATCAGCGATAATCAGCAGTTTTATTTCCTCTTCCGTGGATGTTAGTGTCACCGCGTAAGGACCTGCCTGGCTTGGAATGTCACGTAGCCTTTACCGAGAAATAGCCCTGACGTGCAGGCACCTGTCACGCTCTGCGTACTCGACATCTGACTGTTTTGAGCAGAGTGACGTTTCCCAGGCAGCCCCTCCACGTTGTTCGGGGAACCAGTCGGCGGAACTGGGGCCCTCTGCTGAGGTGCCTTTCCCGGTGAGTCGCACCCTCTCCACACGACCAGAAAGCCTCTTTGAGAACAGAGGACGCCCCCCGCGGTGATGGGGCAGGGAACGAGCAGAAGACTGGACCGTGCAAATGAGAACCGGACCCGTGGTCCTGCCCAGGCAGGAGGTATTTCAGCCCAAGTCAAAGGGCCCGAGAAGAACTGCGCGGGCCATTGGGATAGGCCCCTGGGCTTTCCCTTAAAAAAGCTGGTGATTCAAAGTGAACCGGAAATACGACTCGTGGCTAAGTGACACTTTGCAAGGACCTTGGCATGAGGGAAGGGTCACCTGCGGGGGGCAGGGAGGTAGGGAGCAGACACACCTGGTTTTATATTTGAACGTAGAATCTGGCGCGTTTTCTCAGCGCAGGGAAGCGGAGAGGGGGGAGGAGGGAGGAACGGAGTCCTACCTTGAACTTGGCCGCCTCGGAGGCTTTCTTGCCGTCCCAGGCCCAGCCCCTCTTGGTGAAGTAGTTCACCGTGGCGAACTCGATGAGCGCGGAGAACACGAAGGCGTAGCACACGGCGATGAACCAGTCCATGGCGGTGGCGTAGGCCACCTTGGGCAGCGAGTTCCGGGCGCTGATGCTGAGCGTTGTCATGGTCAGCACCGTGGTCACCCCTGGGGATGGGGCGGAACAGCGGAAACCGGGATCAGTGCTGGCACTCACACCCCACTGAATAATACCCTGAGCACCACAGACTGGCAGGCGCCAGTCACTTTATCCCTAACCCAGACCTCCCTCCGACTCAGTGGTTCCCATAACACTTAACATGAGCATAGTGTTTAAAATGTTGGTGCCCTGACCGATGTGGCTCAGTGGATTGAGAACCAGACCAAAGGGTCACTGGTTTGATTCCCAGTCAGGGCACATGCCTGGGTTGCAGGCCAGGTCCCCAGTAGGGGGCACACAAGAGGCAACCACACATTGGTATTTCTCTCCCCCCTTTCTAAAAATAAGTTTTAATTTTTTTTTAATTTTTAAAATAAAATACTGCTTATTTGATTTATCTGGTTGAGTGTCTCCTTCTAGAAGATAAACTGAGGAGGGCAGGGATTTGGGTCTGACTGATACCCACACCCTGACTGTGTCCCCATCGCCCAGCAAGCAGCTGGCACTCAACAGAGAGGTGTTCAATGAGGGGGGTTTCTTCCTGGCACGGGGTCAAGATCAACTGAGAAAGGGCAATGACTCGACATGCACGAAGATGAGCCACACGCATTACAAGTTGTGGGCTCCAGGCACACGGACTGGACAATCCACCCTGCAGCCTACCAGGGCCCGTGGGCAGCAGAACCACCGCGGCGGAACCCAAGACAATCCGCATCCCCTCCAGGTGGCTGTGCGGGGTGCCACTGGCTGGCCACCTTGTGTTCTGGGAAAACTCACAGTGACCATGCAGCCAGCCAGACCCCCCGGAGGGTGACATTGGTCTAGGACTGGCAGAGAACAAACCACCTACAGGGCATCACTAAGGGCCGGACTCGGAACTAAGCCACGGGTGCCATTACCCGCACTTCACAGGTGAGGAGCTTACACATTTAACAGTAGTTAGCAATGTCCCCACATCTGCCAGCTGGCAAAGGAGCAGCCTTGTCAGGCCTCAGGACGGCAGGGGGCTTCCAGCCCCCGTGGCTCCCGCAGTTCTGTCTGCTCCAGGGGACAGTGTCCCCCAGAGTCATGCATGCCAGTGTCCACCTCCAGCACCCCAACGTGCAACCCAACCTGGAATGCAGTCTCAGAGAAGTCACTGAATTGAAAGGAGGAAGCTGGGGTGGCTCCCATCCAGTGTGGCTGCTGTCACACACTCAGAGAGAACACACGTGGCCACAGGCATGAGTGGCCACAAGCCAAGACCTTGCAGAAGCTGGAAGAGTGGCCCGGAGCAGGTGCCCTCGGAAGGAACTAGCCCTGCTGTTACCTTGACTTTGCACTTGCAGCCTTCCAAGCTGTGGGATTACTCAACTCTGTTGTTTAGGCCCCGCGCTGCATGGGGTCTCTTGTTACAGATCCGCAAAGAACTAACACAACCCTGTGGACGACACGCAGGCCACGGACTAAACCTGGCTGTTCCAGAGGAACTTGCACAGCAGCCACAGAAACTCAGAGACGAACAGGAACCACAGAGAACAGTCTGAAGTGGAAACTGCCTCATTAAAAGCCAGTCATGGCGGGCAGCCATGTCCTGGGCCCGTGTGGGTCTTAACCGAGCCTGGCCGTTGTCCCTGCCCCTCCACAATAACATGCCTTTGGGATGTCCAGACCCCTCCCCACCAGAGCCCCTCATCGCTGTTGATACTGTGTTAATGGTTAACCATAACTATTCTGGGCCCACTGATGCAAAACGAGGGTCTGAGTGGCTTGCTTTTTCTCAGTCCCAGAGGTTTTCTCGCTTTGCTTTCTCCTGCCCCCCTAAACGCTCACCAAGGGGTTTCATGGAAGTGCCTTAAGCCTCCTCCTTTGATTCTGATATATAAAGGAAGGTGCAGCCCTGGCTGGTGTAGCTCAGTGGACTGAGCGTGGGCTGTGAACCAAAGGGTCGCCAGTTCGATTTCCAGTCAGGACACAGGCCTGGGTTGGAAGCCAGGTCCCCGGTGGTGGGTGTACGAGGTACACGAGAGGCAACCACACATTAATGTTCCCCTCCCTCTCTTTCTCCTTTCCTTTCTTTCACTCTAAAAATAAATAAATAAAAATGTTGTAATATAAAAAAATAAAATAAGGTGCCAAACTGCCATTCTCTGCCGCATTTCCTCAATCCCTTGAGACTTTGCTCCCCAGAGTTGCTGTCAGTTTGGCTCCAACAAATTCATACAAATTCTTCCAGGTTTGGACATTTGTTAGGCTGATGCACCAAACAAGTGTAACATCTCTGATGTTCATGGTAGCCGAGTCGTCACCCAGTGTCACCCTCCAAAGGTCTGACAGAGTGCCAGGCAGGGGACAAATGCCTAGTGATGAGTTTAGAGGCATCTGTGACGTTTCTTAAAACCCAGTTAGTCCCTGTGCTGGGGAGGGGGTGTTCTGTGCCTGACCTTGTACGAGTGAGCTTCTCCCATCTTCCTGGGTCTCTGACATCCCAATGTGCATTGAGAATCTCCAAGAGGAAACAGCATCTTGCACTAATTTTGTCACTCGCCTGCCTACCAACGTCCCCCTGCAGAGCCGGGGGCGGGGCCTGGGGCACTCCCCGCCTCCCCCAGACATTGCTGGGGTACCGTGAGGCGAGGGAAGCCGGGTGCAAGGTCGGAGCAAGAGAGACGGCACCACGGGAACGCCCTGGGCCACACCCGGGGCCGCACTGGGGGAGCATTCCCGGAAAATGGGGTCGCCCTTCTCTCTCGGGAAGACGCGGGGCCGCACGCAGAGCTGCGGCCGGGACCGAGCTTTTCCGTTTGGGAGACGTGAGTGTCCCCATTGCCATGGTCACGGGCAAAACTGCCTTCAGTTTTGCTCCTCCAGTTCGAGGATGGAGCGGTTCAAGGTCAGAGTCAGTGTCAGGTGATGTGGGTTTGGCTTCTTACTGTATGTTTGTGTGGGTACATGTCAACTACACGTGTGTGTCATAGGCATGTAGATATAAGCACACTTACTGTATGATATTACCTACATAATTCATTACTATCATACACACGTGAGTGATTGCCACTTGGGGATTAACTTTCTAAATTTTTAAAAATTGACTTGAGAGAGCCCTGGCTGGTGTAGCTCAGTGGATTGAGCGCGGGCCTGCGAACCAGACAATCGCAGTTCGATTCCCAGGCAGGGCACATACTGGGGTTGCAGGCCAGTTCCCTGCAGGCCAGTTCCCAGCAGGGGATGCATGAAAGGCAACCATACATTGATGTTTCTCTCTCTCTCTCCTTCCCTTCCCCTCTGAAGATAAATAAATAAATCTTAAAAAAAATTGACTTGAGAGAGAGAGAGACATTGATTTGTTATTCTACTTATTGGTGTATTCATTGGTTGATTCCTCTATGTGCCCTCATCGGGGATCGAACCCGCAACCTTGGAGTATCGGGAGGATGCTCTGACCACTGAACCACCCAGCCAGGGCCCGGGGTTGACTTTAAAGTGGCCTGCACATTTCACAGAGAACTGCCCGATAAAATGCAACACACAGAGCAGGCCTTTGTGAGGCCTGTAAAAATACTGTGGTGAAATGTCACATAAAGACAGATTGTCGGCAGTTTCCAAACTCAGAAAAAGGCCCCCTGTGGAAGGCTTTTCAGAACAGAAATAACGACCAAGCGGACCTTCATCCCCGGAAGCCCGGCTCCGAGAGCCGTTCCAGACCCTAATCCTGTAACGCTGGATCCTCCCTCACGGCTCCCGGCGCTTCCAGGTCACAGAACAGAACCTGTGGTTGCTGGGGGAGGTCAGTGGCCGTCATGGAACCCTGGCCCAGGCCCGGCTTGGGGACACTCACCGAACACAGTCCTGGCTGGGACGGACTCCCTGTTCAGCCAGAATGAGACCTGTGACAAGATCACAGTCATTATGCAGGGAAGGTAGGTCTGGATGACGAAGTACCCGATCTTCCTCTTCAGGTGGAAATGAGCCGTCATAATGGTGTACTCGCCTGCAGACAAGCACAGGAGGGCGGTCAGCACCGAACTCTGGCCGTCCCCACCCCACGCTCCCAGCTTGTGTCCCGTGTCCCCGATCCTGACCTCTCCGCACCCCCCACTGCACAGGATTTGTGTGGTTTGGGCAAAGGAGAGGATGGGGCCTGCGGATTTTTATACGGCCACCACCGTTTAAGTCTTCTGACCCCTGAAGAGCTTTTGCACGTGGGTGCTTTTCCTGGAAAATCAGATTTCAGTGCCTTCCTAATCCCCCCTCGCAATCTGTCCCCTCGGCCCTCCCGCTGGCCCTCGCGCTGGCAGTTCAGGGTTTGGCCTCTCGGCAGAGAGAACTGGGGACCCCACAGAGCCCCGTGCTGCGTGGAGGGGTCTCGCCCTGTTTCCCAGCCGGGGGGGGTGCTCCCAGGACCTGGGGGCGACCACCCCCCACTGGCTCCAGCTGCGGTAGGGTGACGGCGAGCCGCAGCTTCTGGAGGCCGGGGTCCTGGCGGCGGTGCTCTCCCCAGGGACCTGGGGGGCCCCCTGCCTTGGCGATGCCCCAGCGCCTCCTCTGCATCTGCCTGGCCGTGTGGGAGGCCAGCGGGGACCTCCCATTCATCGCCGAGAACGATGCTGCGCTGACAGTGAACTGGTAAGGAGCCCGGGGCGGGGGCGGCTGTGTTTCAAAGGGCTGCGAGCCTGAGGGCCCGGGGAGCTGCTTTGAGAATTGGGGACACAGCTGAGTTGATCTGAGGACAAGAGGACTCTGGCTGAACTGTAAGGAGTACATGGTATGGTTGAACTTGAATGAGGCAGGAGGGGTGGGCTGTGCACCAGGAAACAGACCCCGCGTGGCGCCCCCTCTGGGGCTGTTCCGCCGGCTGCGTGGGCAGAGTTGGGGCTTTGGAGGCAGCTAATAACCCAGCTCCCACGCCTGTGGTCGGAGCGGAAGCCCAGTGCTCAGCAGGGCCAGCTGAGCGTGTGTCCCCGTGTGGCTTTTGTCACAGCAGCCGAACGTCAGAGGTGGATGGCAACATTAAGACCGCAGGTGGTGAGATCTGTCCCCCTGACAGAGGAGACAGCCGCTTTCTGCAGTGCTTTGTGGCAGGGCACCAGCCCGCCGCCCTCCCGCCTGCAGCCCCGGGGAAGGTGAGAGCAGGTGACAGGGACCCGGGCTCTGTCTGTCCCTCCCAGCGGAAAATACAAACAGGGGCACAGAGAAAGGGGGTGAGCGGGTGTCGGAGCCGCGATCGGACCCCGTTCTCTCTCTGCTGCACCTGAGCTTGCGGGAGATGCTATTCTGCTTCTCTGCCAGGCGGCTTGAAATCACTACCCTACTTATAAAATTCTTCTTTGGTGGTGCTCTTTTTACTTCGTTTTATTTTTGAACGGATGGGAACCATAACAGATAATGTCACAAAGAGAAGACCGTCTTTTCAGCACGCAGATAGATGCGGGGACCTCATTCACGAACTGCTGCAGGACTAGGTGAGGTGGCTTCAAACGGCGGCACCGTCTCTTCCCCCCACCCCCTGCGTTTCTGCCAGGCCACACTTCCTCTGCTTTTGCACTAAACATTCTAACCACAAGGTGAGGCTGCTGTCCTGTCCCCCCCAGTACCTGCCAGGATCTCACCTGTCCCCGGATACTGGTCCACGTGCTTGCTGCTGCCCCGGTGATTGGCAGTGTTGAGAAAGTGGGGTGCTGACTAGGGGATCCCCTGAGGGTGTTCTCTGGGGATTAGAGCTCCTACTGCAATCAGGTATCACTTCACCCCGTTACCCTTTTCTCCTTGGCTGCCTGGAGGCTCTGAGCCCTGCCCTGCCCACAGCCATGCTTTGTGACCCTGACTGCTGCCGCTGGGCCTTGCGTGGCCAGGAGGGGTCTGCAGACACACCTTGCAGCCTGAGGAAGGGCAAGGCATTTTGTTCCTGGGGACACCCGCCATTTTGCAGCAGGCAAAGGGACAGGTACGGCACCTGTATGCCTCTCAGGTCAGCCTCATGCCTATGGGCGTGAGAGGACCTGCTGCTTGTGAGGCCTGGACTATTTCCGGCTGCTTGTTTGTGCTTTCCAAAATTCGACCCCAGGCAGGCCTTGTCTGACATGCTCACGGCAGGAGGTGGGAGACCTGGGAAACGGTATTTGCAGGACGTGGGCTACCTCTCCCTTGCATGTCTCAGGGCAGAAATTGCATTATATAAGCAGGTCCTCGTGGCCTGGGGCAGGGCCAGCGGTCACCAGGGCCTGCGTATACGGGGCCACTGCACCGCCGATTAGTGCCCGGCATGTCCCCTAACGCCAGTGCTGCAGCTGATGTCTCCGAGTGCAGCTTCTGGGCGTGGTGCCTGACTCGGGCAGCTGAGAGCGGAAGGAGAGCGGGCGCAGGTGCGAGAGGACAGGTGGGCTCGGCCGGGGCTCCCCCGAGGGCGCGCCCGCGTGCGCCAGGCCTCACCCGTGCTGGTGCTGATGTTCTCCGTGCCCACTGTCTGCCCCATCAGGTGGTACTGGTTCAGCCTGGAGCCGTCTTCTGCCACCACCACCGACTTGGTGGTGTCGTTGGTCCAGACGTAGACGACCTCGGAGTTAGGGTACGCATCTGTGTGGGGGGACAGAGAGCGGCATAAACGCGGTGTCACTGGAAACCTGGCACAAGCCAAGGAGCAAGAGAGAGGTCGCAAAGTCAAAGCTCAAGGGTCAAGTGGCTCTGCTGGCTGGAGCATCGCCTGGTGTGTGAAAAGTTGCGGGTTTGACCCCTCGTCCTCAACCAACTGATATTTCTCTCACATCGATGTTTCTCTCTCCATTTCTCTCCATCTATCTCCTTAAAAAATCAATAAACAGATCCTCAGGTGAGGATTCAGAAAAAAAGAGTTTGTAGTGTGGTCCAACCAGGGCAGAGCCCCCACAATTCAAGCGCTTCCATTTCGGAAGTACCAGTGCTCAGAAACCACTACCCAGCTCTTCCTGGGGTGTATTTTTGTGGGGATGCTAACAAGGGGGCCCTGAGACCACAGTGCCTCGGGAACCCCCAGCTCTTTGGCGTCATGCAAGTCACTTACGCCCTATGCCTCAGTTTTCCATCTGTAGAATGGCGGCAGGGGGTAACAGCGCCTCCTTCGCGGGCCCCTGGGGTGCACAGTGACCTGTGCCTGCAGCCCCGGGGGCAGCTCGGATGGCACCCCAGGTATTTCTAGCTGATAGTGGAATAGAATGAGAACACCGAAGTGTTGCCAGTTGAAATCTCTGTTAGTGAAGTTGTATCCTTTTCGCCAGATGTCTGAGACTCAGCACCGTACCAAAAAGCAGGGCCCCCCGGCCCTGAGCAGGGGCCCCATCGGCGGGGCTGGGGTCCTACCCGCGCGAATCGGGGAGTTGATTGTGATATTTGTCTGCACTAGGAAGGCATGAAATAGGAGGAAATAGATCAGACTCGTTCCAGCCACTGGCAAGACACCGTGGCTACTACGCAGAACTCACACTGTGGCGGGGGTGTGGAGTGGTATCCCTGTCACGCTTTTAAAAACTCCCATCGCCTGTTTTCAAGTTTCAGATGATACAGAAGTGCCTTTTGCACATGGGCAGCCTGGGGGCTTTCCTGACACAGCGTACCCTGTCACAATGTCCCCTCTTTCCCGAGGACAGGCGGATCGGGGCGATGACACCCCCACCTGGGGCTGTGCCAGATCCGTGGCACCCTGAGTGCTGGCGGGTTCAGTAGTGGAAGTGCCATGGGGCGCACTGACTATGGAAGGGCTGCGGCACTGGGGACTCGGTGCCACCAGATCCTGGCCCTGGCTGAGAGTGGGGACAGACAGCAGGGGACAGAGAGGCAGCGTGTGACTCCCAGCTGTCCCCAGACCAGCTCAAACGGCTTGCGTTCCTGGCCCCCCAGCCGACTGCTTCCCCCGGGGGACAGCTGCTGAGCTGGGAGGCTGGCCTGCCGCCAGGGCCGCCTCTGCACGGACACACCCCGTCCACGGCGGGGCTGTGAGTGTGACCCCTGCCCAAGAAGTGGAAGGAGACCCCCAAGCCTGGGCAGGTGCGAGGCAGCTGGGAATTGTGAGTCCTGAGCTCTTAAGAACTCACACCTCAGGGCCGGGTGAGGAGCCCGGGAACACAGACCCCTGTCTGAGGGCAGGAAACCCCGCCCCCCACCCTGTGGGGCTGGCGACTGGGTGCTGAGTCTCCTGGAGACAAAGGGAGAGGGGCCCTCAGGACTCGTGGAGCCACCTGGAGACTGGCAGAGGTCTGGGGGTGCAGGGGCCACCTCTGGTGGCCTGGAGGACATGAGGGCGCAGACGGGAGTCGTGGTAGGGTGTGGAGGTGCAGAGGTGGGGGCTGGGACAGGCCTGTGGGGGGCGTGGACCCCGTGCCATCTGCCCTCCTGACTGTAGGGCGGGCATCGCTCCCTACCACAGGGGACCGGGCGGGGGGTCCACAATGGCGGATGGCCCTGTGGCTTAGCGGCGTGTGGACGGGGGAAGCGTGTCTGTGCCTCGGGGGTCCCTGGCTGTGGGGGAGGCTGGCTCTGTCACCTGCAGACCCGGCTTGCTAGACACAAGTCCTCCCAGCCTCTTTCTCCATTGTTAGTGGGGCTGCTAGTGAATAATAATGCTTATCTACAATAAAGTCCCCCCCACACAACTGTAACTAGATCAAAGTTGGCTGAAATCACCAAGTGATGGATACACGTCACTTACGATGCGTACTCATAATTCATATCACCTTGCTTTTCACACTGTTGGAATGACATGTAAGTGTTCAGTGACCTGTTAATATTGATAGTGCTGATAGCATTAATAATGAGGAGGGTCAGTGTGGCCCCCAGCGTGCTGGCCCCACCGGCTGAACTCTCTCCCTCTCCAGATGAAGGTGGGTGGGAACAAATGCCCACTCGTGTGCGTTTCCGCTCTGGCGTGGAGAGGCACTAAATTCCTCTTCCTGTCACCGGTGCGGCATCAATCTCGGAACTGGGGACAGCAGTAAATGAGGCAGTCGGTTTGCTTGCTCTCCTTTGTCATGATTGAAAGCTTCAGAACCATAATCCCCACCTCCACAGACCATCCATCCACGGAGCCAGGCAGGAAGGTCTGGCAGGTTTTCCCCCACGGGGGACTGGGGGATTTGTCACCGCCTTCTGAGTGGCGCCTTCCCCTGGCCCGACACTTCCTGTCTGTCCTCATCCTGCGTCTCCGACCCTGAACAGTGGCCTGGCACCCTCAACCTGATTCGCGAGGCCTTTCAGAAGCAATGAGGCCGCCTCACTGTGAGCGAAATACGGCGTGTGACTTTGACCTTCAATGATGCATTTATGCTCTAAGCCTCTATTTGCTACCAGCCGTATGTCTGGTGCATCTCCTGGGGACACTATGACAGCAAAGTCTGCTCATCAATGCCAAGTAATCAGTATATGCTTGCCACACAGTAGGTGCTTAATAAATACTAGTTATAAGAAATGTAACCTGCCATGGCCAGTGAGACTCAGTTGGTTGGACATTGTTCCACACACCAAAAAGCTGCAGGTTCGATGCACACGTGAGGCAATTGATGAATGCTTCTCTCTCACATTGATGTTTCTCTCTCTCCCTCCCTATTTATTTTTTAATTTTTTTATTGATTATGCTGTTACAGTTGTTCTATTCCCTCCTTCATTCCCCTCTACCCTACCCCCCATCCCCACCATTACCCCCCCTTTAGTTTATGACCAAGTGTCTCAAGTCCTTTAGATTCTATATTTCCCATGCTATTCTTGCCCCCCCTTCTATTTTCTATCTACTTATTTTCTGTAACTTCTCCCCTCTTCTCCTTCTCCCACTCCCCTGTTGCTAACCCTCCTTGAGATCTTCATTTCTATGTTTCCACTCCTGATCTAGCTGTCCTTTTAGTTTGCTTTCATTTTAGGTGTGGTTGTTAATAACTGTGAGTTTGTTGTCCTTTCACTGTTCATGTTTCTTTAACTTCTTTTTCTTAGATAAGTCCCTTTAACATTTCATATTATAAGGGCTTGGTGATGATGAACTCCTTGAATTTGATCTTATCTGAGAAGCACCTTATCTGTCCTTCCATTCTAAATGAAAGTTTTGCTGGATAGAGCAATCCTGGTTGTAGGTCTTTGGATTTCATGACTTGGAATACCTCTTTCCAGCCCCTTCTTGCCTGCAAGGTCTCTTTTGAGAAATCCGCTGACAGTCTGATGGGGACTTCTTTGTAGGTGACTGTCCCCTTAGCTCTTGCTGCTTCTAGGATTCTCTCCTATTTTAATTTTGGCTAATGTAATGATGATGTGCCTTGGTGTGTTCCTTCTTGGGTCCAACTTCTTTGGGACTCTCTGAGCTTCCTGGATTTCCTGGAAGTCTATTTCCTTTGCCAGATTGGGGCAATTCTCCTTTATTATTTGTTCAAATAAGTTTTCCACTGGTGGCTGTGCCTTTCCCCCTTCTGGTACCCCTATAATTCGGATGTTGGAGCGTTTAAAGATGTTCTGGAGGTTCCTAAGACTCTCCTCATTTCTTTGAATTCTTGCTTCTTGACTCTTTTCTGTTTGGCCATTATTTGCTTTCTTCTGGTCCACTCCATTGATTTGAGTCCCAGTTTTCTTTTCATTGCTATTGGTGTCCTGTGCAATTCCATTCATTTCAATTAGTTTCGCCTTCATATATTTGTCTAATTTGTGGCTATAATCAACCAGTTCTGTGAGGATCCTGATGACCAGTGTTTTAAACTGTGCGTCTGAGAGTTTTGCTATTTCTTCATTGCTTAGATCTATGGGCTCTGGGGCTTTGAGATCTTCTTGCGACATTTTTGGTCTGTTTGCGCCCTTTAAGTGTGAGAAGCGGCGCCTTGGACTCCCAGGTCGCTGGGTTGTGATGCTGTATGTAGGGGCGTGGTCAGAGCAGGGAAATGACGACCCCCTCTGCTGTTTCTCACAGCTGGATGAGGAGCAGCGCCTTACGTAGTTCACCTGGGCCGAGCAACTCAGAGTCGCTGGGTTATGACGCTGTATGTGGAGGTGGGGTCAGAGCGGGGAAATGGCGGCGCCCTCCACTGCCACTTGCCACTGGGACCCGCCGGGCCCCGGTCCAACTGCCCACTCCCTCGCCTGTCCACCCGCGCACAAATGCGTGACCACAGTAAACACGCAGCACCGCTCCCCCGCGGTCGCTCGCCTGGTGGCTCTCTCGGTCGCTCACTAGGTCCAACCCTGCACCTGGATTCCGCACGTCTGGATTCCGCACCTGAGTCCGTCTGACCGAGACCTGTGCAACCCCGCTTCACTAGCCGCTGGTTTCGCCCCTTACCGGTCAGGCTGAAGAATTTGTTGTTAACAGACTTCCGAAAAGTTCAATTTTCCGTGTTCTGGCTGTGTTTTCTGTTGCTAATATTTAGTTGTCTCTAAACTTGGTTGTGTGAGAAGGCACGGCACATCCACCTATGCCTCCATCTTGGCGGAAGTCTCTATTTATTTTTTAAAGATTTTATTTATTTATTTTTAGAGAGAGAGGAAAGGGGGGAGAAAAAGAGGGAGAGAAGCATCAATGCGTGGTTGCCTCTTGCACGCCCCCTACTGGGGACCATGGTCTGAAACCCAGGCCTGTG